ACATGTCTAAGTGTAAAATAATATTAGAAGTGGAACACTTTATAAAAAGTATAATCTATCAAGTGTTAAAATTTTTCAAAAGAATAGCTTATTTCATCCCGAGATGATCCGAAGACTTTTATTCAAAAAATACAGGTTAATTAATATTTAACTTTTTGAAACAAAAGAAGTTAATTTTAAACTTTTTCGTTAACCGTAACTGAAAAAAATTAACCGATAGCCGTAAAAGAGCCAAAATTTTAGCCGATAACCGTAAAAGCCACCACCCCATTGAGACCCTCTAAAGAGACATGACGAATTTTATGAATATGCTCACTACAATTTACCGCTTTAGTTAATAGCGCAAATCTCGAGGCCGACTCGCAAGGTCCAATGATAAACCTAAAAGGCTGGTCTAAGGAAGGTTAATTCGAAGGTCCTTTGATTAACACGTTACGATTTGTGTCGTAGATTAACCGGAAACACCGGTTGCTGCTAAACCCCAAGCTGTCCTAGGCTCTAAGAAAGTAATGTGCAGAGATGTCCGGAAACTTCTGCGAAAAACGCGCGGAGTATTGGTCTGTTTTCGCGATCTCCTTAATATAGTTAGCAAGAAAATTAAGTATGGAGAAGGGCATAGTATAGTAAAGCTAATTATGGCCCTTTAACAAGATTGAATTTTATTCTATTATAGCTTTGTTATTCATTAAAACATACACAAAACTTCGTACAAAAGAGGGTTCATCCTCGTTGTAACAACCTGTTACGCTCACGGGTAACGTAAAACAAAGAAGACAAAGAAGTCAACACAATAGAACCTGGAAAAACAAAAGTTGCGAAACAAAGAAAAAGTTCACAGATTCTTACACCGAGGTAAAACCCAAAATCATAGCTGACCGCTAACCGAAGTATATTATTCGAGTGTACTTGCGACAAAAACCCACAGTCTGACAGTTTGAGGATTCCAGGATACACAGCCAGATTGTTAGTTATGGTACCTCTATGTGATTTATTTTTAAACAATTGAAAAAATGACTTCTAAGAAAATCCTTCTTCAGTAATACTTTCATATGGTACTATTTATTTAATTTTTAGTTCACTTTTGAGTCAGTGGATCATCGCCCAGAATGCCGTGACACATAGAGGGCCTTCTTACGGTCCAGAGCCCTAAATTTGAAAAGCTTCCTTCTGACAAAGGAGCCAAAATACAAAGAAAATGGGGAGAAATGGCGAAACAAGGAGTACGTTTTACTCCATTACGAAAAGGCTAAGTGCTTTTATTAGCGGTTAGGTTCACCCTGGCTTTTTCAGAAGAGGTGTCGAGGAATCAGTTAAGATTATTTTCATTTCGAGACTACTCAGTCCACATTACTGTAAGTGGGATCCATCCAGTGGTGAAAAATATCTTTAAGTTAACACTAAGGATTGGTTGGCCTCTTCTTTATCCGACATTTCCATGATTATTTCTTCCTTCGCGGACCTATGGCTTCTGCAACAATATATCTTGTAGTCCTCGTCCCACGCTTCCACCTGTTCTACTGTCTGGGCCAGGGGACTGTGAAGTGTCTCCGGAAGCCAAAGCGCCAAAATACCCGCAAGAATCCCAAAAATTCCAAAAATGACCAGCGGTAGAGTTTTGCTCACGTTTGGAAGGTCAGCCTTGAACGAAAAACAATTGCGAATTATCGCTAAATGAATAAGCCTTCCCTGTTTGAAAAAAGAAACACTGCCTGTCGATGCAGGATACGTTAAACTGTAGCTTAAGTCCCCCCCTCTACTTATATCCCCCCCCCCCAATCATAGGCCCATCCATCTTAAAAAAAAAAAACATCCTACTACGAGCCCCCCTCTCGCCCTCATGGCCTCTGAGTCAATAGCCCATTCGGCCTTCGGCCTCATGGGCTACTGACTCAGAGCCCATTCGGGCTCGAGGAATAATGTTAAATATACAAACCAATAAAACGATGAATGGCGTTATCATACTGCCAACACGAGCCATCATTGAAACCACACCTATGCCAGTATTCCTACAATAAAGGAAAAGTGCCATTTATATTAATAAAACCCGCTTATCAATAACACTGAGAACTATATGGATTGAGATTGCCCAACGACTCAACTGCTGTTTTAAAATTTAGAAAACAAAACCATTTTTTGTCTTTTAAACAACCCTCACTGACAAAACTTTCCATAAGCTGTGTTTTGTTACAAATAAAATTGAAACAGCGTGAAATTCTCGCACAAAGATTTTTATGTCTATTTTTTTAAATTCTGTGTCATCATTTGAAAATATTTTGTTTACATTTGGTTGCGCTATTATCCAGAATCAACGTTTAATTTGTTGGAAAAGAACGTAAACAAAAGAACGTTTCTACGAAAGGATAAGGTTCAGCTCCCACGGGATTGACTTGGAACAACAACATGGCCGCCGTTTGTTGTTGTTTTGGAACACCAATATGGCGGACGTGGCGTCATGCAAAAACGTTGGTAGGCGTGATATGACGTCACGAAAAAACGTGAGAAAGCTAGCTAGGCCATAAGATTTTCCTATCACTTTTAAAGTTTATTGAAATTTCATTTACTTGTAAAGGAATGTTGTAAATCTGAGGTTATGTCTACACCAAAGAAGGTAAGGTTTTTGTGTCATTGCAAGAGCTATCAGTTGTAGCTATCGGTCAAATAACACCTACATTTTTTATTTCATGAAGTGCAGATAATAGCCTGTTATAATGCAACAAAGTTGGATGGTTTACTTGCCTGATGACTGTCGGGTATAATTCTGCAGTGAAAACATAAATCCCCAAGAACGTGGCGAAGATGCAAGCTTTGCCAATGACAGCCAGAATCGTAACAATGAACTGTAATTCTTAGAAACCATAAGAAAACGTAATATGTTAATTCATTGAGTGACTGACTCAGTTCATCAATATACAGGTAGGGGGGAGGGGAACTAAGAGGGTCTGTACAAACATAAGGAAATTTCCAGAAGCCATCCTGATATATGCTAGCCGTGAAGTTAGCCGATTTAGGGCCTGTTTACATGGAGGTGGGGGACCCCAGGTAGGTGAGGTAACACGCTTAGGTGGGGTAACCCGCCTGTACATATAATCTCTTATATGGTCACCCCACATATCATGTAAACGTGATGAAATTAAAATGAGAGATTATATGGACAGGCGGGTTACCCCACCTAAGCAGGTTACCTCACCCACCTGGGGTCCCCCACCTCCATGTAAACAGGCCCTTATTCATCGAAATATTCCACCTAAAGAACAGCTTCCATTTTGCAAAGTAAATAGCCAACTTTCAAAGCAAATTCGATAATACTTGTAGAAACCGTAACGAAGAGATTTCTGTTTCAAATCATTCTACTGATCCCTCCTCTACAAAGCCCATATGCTGGTAGTTAGCCAGAGGAATTAAAAGCGCGTAAAACAGAAAAACGTACGCGCTGGTGGTCGCTTTTTTAAAATTTGTTATCACACACACACCACTAATTCTCTTACAAATTTTTTGAACTTTACTGCCGGCGCCAATGAAAAATTCCCCGATGTGTCGCTGCATTCTGGTTGATGTAGCCCTGTTGGCTTCACACGTGAGGTAATTGCTTGCTTTGTGTCAATTACGATGTTTTTTATTGATGGAAATCTTTAGAAACTCCCAGTTTGTGCAATCGGACCATACTTAATGACTGTCCAGAGAGAGAAGACAAGGTTTTGCTGTAAAGAGGTGCGCAACCCACGACGGCACGCCAGCAGTTGGGGTCAAAACTAGTCACAGCTTTTTCAGACTAACCTCTTCCACGTTAATGACCTTAGCTGACCTTCGGCACTCCGCTTTCTACGAAGTGATATGAATTATCTGGAAAAGGAACAAGCTGCACCCGCAGCCGGCTCCCTCCTTTCTTAATATTTACCGCTTTAGTTAATAGCGCAAATCTCGAGGCCGACTCGCAAGGTCCAATGATAAACCTAAAAGGCTGGTCTAAGGAAGGTTAATTCGAAGGTCCTTTGATTAACACGTTACGATTTGTGTCGTAGATTAACCGGAAACACCGGTTGCTGCTAAACCCCAAGCTGTCCTAGGCTCTAAGAAAGTAATGTGCAGAGATGTCCGGAAACTTCTGCGAAAAACGCGCGGAGTATTGGTCTGTTTTCGCGATCTCCTTAATATAGTTAGCAAGAAAATTAAGTATGGAGAAGGGCATAGTATAGTAAAGCTAATTATGGCCCTTTAACAAGATTGAATTTTATTCTATTATAGCTTTGTTATTCATTAAAACATACACAAAACTTCGTACAAAAGAGGGTTCATCCTCGTTGTAACAACCTGTTACGCTCACGGGTAACGTAAAACAAAGAAGACAAAGAAGTCAACACAATAGAACCTGGAAAAACAAAAGTTGCGAAACAAAGAAAAAGTTCACAGATTCTTACACCGAGGTAAAACCCAAAATCATAGCTGACCGCTAACCGAAGTATATTATTCGAGTGTACTTGCGACAAAAACCCACAGTCTGACAGTTTGAGGATTCCAGGATACACAGCCAGATTGTTAGTTATGGTACCTCTATGTGATTTATTTTTAAACAATTGAAAAAATGACTTCTAAGAAAATCCTTCTTCAGTAATACTTTCATATGGTACTATTTATTTAATTTTTAGTTCACTTTTGAGTCAGTGGATCATCGCCCAGAATGCCGTGACACATAGAGGGCCTTCTTACGGTCCAGAGCCCTAAATTTGAAAAGCTTCCTTCTGACAAAGGAGCCAAAATACAAAGAAAATGGGGAGAAATGGCGAAACAAGGAGTACGTTTTACTCCATTACGAAAAGGCTAAGTGCTTTTATTAGCGGTTAGGTTCACCCTGGCTTTTTCAGAAGAGGTGTCGAGGAATCAGTTAAGATTATTTTCATTTCGAGACTACTCAGTCCACATTACTGTAAGTGGGATCCATCCAGTGGTGAAAAATATCTTTAAGTTAACACTAAGGATTGGTTGGCCTCTTCTTTATCCGACATTTCCATGATTATTTCTTCCTTCGCGGACCTATGGCTTCTGCAACAATATATCTTGTAGTCCTCGTCCCACGCTTCCACCTGTTCTACTGTCTGGGCCAGGGGACTGTGAAGTGTCTCCGGAAGCCAAAGCGCCAAAATACCCGCAAGAATCCCAAAAATTCCAAAAATGACCAGCGGTAGAGTTTTGCTCACGTTTGGAAGGTCAGCCTTGAACGAAAAACAATTGCGAATTATCGCTAAATGAATAAGCCTTCCCTGTTTGAAAAAAGAAACACTGCCTGTCGATGCAGGATACGTTAAACTGTAGCTTAAGTCCCCCCCTCTACTTATATCCCCCCCCCCCAATCATAGGCCCATCCATCTTAAAAAAAAAAAACATCCTACTACGAGCCCCCCTCTCGCCCTCATGGCCTCTGAGTCAATAGCCCATTCGGCCTTCGGCCTCATGGGCTACTGACTCAGAGCCCATTCGGGCTCGAGGAATAATGTTAAATATACAAACCAATAAAACGATGAATGGCGTTATCATACTGCCAACACGAGCCATCATTGAAACCACACCTATGCCAGTATTCCTACAATAAAGGAAAAGTGCCATTTATATTAATAAAACCCGCTTATCAATAACACTGAGAACTATATGGATTGAGATTGCCCAACGACTCAACTGCTGTTTTAAAATTTAGAAAACAAAACCATTTTTTGTCTTTTAAACAACCCTCACTGACAAAACTTTCCATAAGCTGTGTTTTGTTACAAATAAAATTGAAACAGCGTGAAATTCTCGCACAAAGATTTTTATGTCTATTTTTTTAAATTCTGTGTCATCATTTGAAAATATTTTGTTTACATTTGGTTGCGCTATTATCCAGAATCAACGTTTAATTTGTTGGAAAAGAACGTAAACAAAAGAACGTTTCTACGAAAGGATAAGGTTCAGCTCCCACGGGATTGACTTGGAACAACAACATGGCCGCCGTTTGTTGTTGTTTTGGAACACCAATATGGCGGACGTGGCGTCATGCAAAAACGTTGGTAGGCGTGATATGACGTCACGAAAAAACGTGAGAAAGCTAGCTAGGCCATAAGATTTTCCTATCACTTTTAAAGTTTATTGAAATTTCATTTACTTGTAAAGGAATGTTGTAAATCTGAGGTTATGTCTACACCAAAGAAGGTAAGGTTTTTGTGTCATTGCAAGAGCTATCAGTTGTAGCTATCGGTCAAATAACACCTACATTTTTTATTTCATGAAGTGCAGATAATAGCCTGTTATAATGCAACAAAGTTGGATGGTTTACTTGCCTGATGACTGTCGGGTATAATTCTGCAGTGAAAACATAAATCCCCAAGAACGTGGCGAAGATGCAAGCTTTGCCAATGACAGCCAGAATCGTAACAATGAACTGTAATTCTTAGAAACCATAAGAAAACGTAATATGTTAATTCATTGAGTGACTGACTCAGTTCATCAATATACAGGTAGGGGGGAGGGGAACTAAGAGGGTCTGTACAAACATAAGGAAATTTCCAGAAGCCATCCTGATATATGCTAGCGGTGAAGTTAGCCGATTTAGGGCCTGTTTACATGGAGGTGGGGGACCCCAGGTAGGTGAGGTAACACGCTTAGGTGGGGTAACCCGCCTGTACATATAATCTCTTATATGGTCACCCCACATATCATGTAAACGTGATGAAATTAAAATGAGAGATTATATGGACAGGCGGGTTACCCCACCTAAGCAGGTTACCTCACCCACCTGGGGTCCCCCACCTCCATGTAAACAGGCCCTTATTCATCGAAATATTCCACCTAAAGAACAGCTTCCATTTTGCAAAGTAAATAGCCAACTTTCAAAGCAAATTCGATAATACTTGTAGAAACCGTAACGAAGAGATTTCTGTTTCAAATCATTCTACTGATCCCTCCTCTACAAAGCCCATATGCTGGTAGTTAGCCAGAGGAATTAAAAGCGCGTAAAACAGAAAAACGTACGCGCTGGTGGTCGCTTTTTTAAAATTTGTTATCACACACACACCACTAATTCTCTTACAAATTTTTTGAACTTTACTGCCGGCGCCAATGAAAAATTCCCCGATGTGTCGCTGCATTCTGGTTGATGTAGCCCTGTTGGCTTCACACGTGAGGTAATTGCTTGCTTTGTGTCAATTACGATGTTTTTTATTGAAGGAAATCTTTAGAAACTCCCAGTTTGTGCAATCGGACCATACTTAATGACTGTCCAGAGAGAGAAGACAAGGTTTTGCTGTAAAGAGGTGCGCAACCCACGACGGCACGCCAGCAGTTGGGGTCAAAACTAGTCACAGCTTTTTCAGACTAACCTCTTCCACGTTAATGACCTTAGCTGACCTTCGGCACTCCGCTTTCTACGAAGTGATATGAATTATCTGGAAAAGGAACAAGCTGCACCCGCAGCCGGCTCCCTCCTTTCTTAACCAATGACGCTTGGCTTAAAAAAGCAGGAGAACTAAAATCGGGGATTGGTTTAGTGGTGCCTTTGGTTATACTACTTTTAATATATTATCCCAAAAAGTTGGTCTAAAAAAGGTAGAAAAGCATGGCAAAGGTATAATACCTTTGACGCGAGCTTTAAGTACCTTTGCACAACTCCCGGGGGGGTGGGGGGGGGGGTACTCGACCAATATTTGGGTATGGGTGAGCCGCTGAGGGTTTGAAACCCTGACCCTGTTTAGGAAGACATCCTCAATTTTTGTACCCGGTTTAGGGCAACTCCCTCAATTTTAATACAAGAACAGACTCGCACAAATCATGCACACTGTTTAGGGAAGACTTGCGCGAAATTACAAAACCCTGTTTAGGAAAGACTCGTGCGAAATTATATCACCTGTTTAGGACAGAGAGAACGAAAACCATACCCTGTCCAGCGGCACAAAATCCCCCTATAGGCGATATGACGGGAGTACCCTCCCCCCCCCCCCCGGGCGCAAGTCTAAGCCAACTCTATGTTCTGATCTACATTTAACGATGAAAAAAAAACTAAGGTTATTCACCTTTGACGTATTAGGGCAAAGTTGGCTTTTACTCCCTAAGAGCAAATGCAAAGGCTAGCGGTATAGGCGATATTTCGTGCGTCAACTGACTGAATTTAGTTTTCGCCGAATCGAAGTGAGACGGCGCTTGCGCAGGCCTTTATTTACCTTCATGCGATGGAACGGCCGATACTAGAGTTCCTGCCAGTCCTCCAAAGATCATGAAGGAAGCGTACGGTATACGGCGACCATATCTGGAGAGAATAACAGTAAACTGGGTTATTGTTCGCATTCATCTCGCCACTCACTGAGTAAACACATACTGGCAAACACTGCAACCAATGAACACTCAAAGTAATAACCAACGTGCTAAGTAAAAACGTGAGAAGAACGGATGATGGATGAGGCTGGTTCCAAGGGTGATAAAAATAAGCGTACCATCGGTTAAGTCTAATTCAGGTGAGCCCGACATGTTTTTCACTGACAGGAACTTACACGGAGGATTGACTTACAGGTCAGAAAATAATAATATATAGATATAGCCAGGGCTAAAAGCGACGCTCTCATTAATAAATTTGTAATTTAAATCAAACAATAAACTTGTATTCCACAAATCAGTTCACTTTAGAGCACATTCATGTGACTTTTGTTTTGAGGGATACATCGAGTTGATGACCTTTATATGTACACCCAAAAAATAGCAATCATCTTCGATCACACTTAACGGCCATAATGGCTCTTCATCACAGTAGATTAGGCCTGGAAAACAAATACTTGGAAAGCAAATCCGGCGGAATTTTTTCCGTTTAAACAAGTTTGCTTTATAAATCTTGCTAACAAATCTGGGGGCGTGTAAACACTGGTGCAAACCAACCTTTTATACTGTTTATACATCACATCTGACTGTCTGAGGTAAAACATTACTATGAGGCGCTGTTTTTATCATACAGACCTCAGACAGAATGCAGTATTTCACAATTTTGAAATATAAATTGCACTCATTCAATATTCAGGACGATCGAAGCACGCGTGGGCTTTTAACGAAACCGCTAAAAAAATTCCAAAATCACCTATAAAAACGGCCAGCCAGTTGCAAGCTGTTAAGTGTTTGAATGAACCTCAACAGAGTTACACTTCAACATAACAAAGAATTTATTGTGTTTATTATTTTTTTTATTTCATGGTTTTATAACGATGTGTAAACTTAAAAAGCGTTTGATACGCGCGACGTTTTGATTACTCCTGCAAGCGATGTTCATGAACGACTGAAAACATTAACGGCAAATTGCAAGAGAGACTACTAACAATCGATAAAAGAAATATAATTCGGTGAAACATTTACAGAGACAACAATTTTCATTCACGAAGACAATTAAGTATTAAAGTGTTTCTAAGAATCACGAGTCTTTATGCTTAAAGCTTAAGTTTAAGCCGGCTTCCCGGTGTTTGCTGTTTTCAAAGATGAACTCGAGGCGACAAAATTGCTCAAAGCTTTCTTTCTACAGCCAAAATAAAAACGCAAGTTTTTTTTTTTTTCTATTTGCGGTGAGAAAATATCGACTAAAGACTTTTTAAAGTTCTGCAAGCTTAAATCAAACCTCATACTATGGGTCAGATCATTATCTCAAATCTTAATTCAAACATGCATAAACTAGCCTCATAAACTGCGCTGGCTTCATAAAATTAGATATATTAAAAAAACAAACACAAATACAATAACTACTCAGGCTTACCATTCGAGATGCAGCTCGTGGAAGCTATCAAGTATGGCCAGAATCGCTTCAGACTTTTTAATGAAGCAAAGTTAAAAAATGAAAACGAATCGATGCCATCCGAAATCGGATTTCCGACTTTGACAGGCGACGTATTTCTCAACCAAAAACCCAATAAACAAACTAGCCATGAATAACAGAAGACTCTTGATAGCAGTTGAATTTCATTTCATACGTCCAGTAGAAAAAGGACAGTTAAAAACATCACAAGTTGACACAAAACTCTGTCAGCTTCAGCTGTCACAGTAAACAAGCTTCAAGATGCTGCATAAATTTTCTGCATAAAACCTGTCAAATTTTGACCAATCAGAGCATAAAAATTGGACGTAGAGCGTGACCAACGCGATCACGGACGACTAACAACAACTAGCAAAGCGATCATGTAAGAACGGTATCTTGACAAACAATCAAGACAAGAGATATAATACAAAGAAAAATTTAAAGGTCAACAATTTTTATTCCCGAAGACGTGTTTTGAGAGTAAAGTGTCTCTGAAAATCCTGAGTCACGAATAGCCGCCTCCGCCGTGTTTGCTATTTTGCAAGATGAACTCCAGGTAAGAATATCGCTCAGTTTTCTTTTAACAAACAATAGGATAAGTAACTATTTTTCAGAACTTTTTCTTCTAGTCGCGGTCAGAAAATGTCTAAAGACCTTTTGAGTTCTTTACTACGTCAGATAAATTGTATGATTCAAACCTTACAAATGTGCTTAAATGACGGCATAAACATGAAAAAAGAAAACACCGTAGTTACTAAAACAAGGAATAACCTACAATGACCTACAATGATCTACGATGAGCTACTACGAGCTACAATGAGTTACTACGAGCTAAAATGAGTTAAAATAAGCCCTACAATGAGCTACAAAATGACAGACAATGATGTTTGTCGTGTGTCACACTTGGACGTGACACTAGGCTTCATGGTATTAAATTGCCAAGCACATTTTGAAAAGGCAAAACAAAAATTGTGCCTGATCTTAGGTAACTTGAGAAACTTGAAAATAGATTATTGCAATCGCGTTTTTACCGGTATAGCACTATTATACCCTGTATTGATGGAAGTCATGTAGGCACTTCCTCATTTGGCCTAGATGGGTATGGGCCGCTGAGCAGGATATGGATTTTACTATTTAGCGTTACAAACAGAGCATCCTCATTGGACCAGAAGCCATTTAAAGGGTCTTATGATGTCTTATACAGGCCAGGGTACTTAAAAAAAATGAACAATTTTTCTTTTAAACAGGGTCAGAATTTGAAGGCCTTCTTTGTTCACCTCTACCCTTACGTCCCTTGAAGATCCCCCCGGATCGACTGTTGGGGTGACTGTGTTTGTTCAATNGGCCAGGGTACTTAAAAAAAATGAACAATTTTTCTTTTAAACAGGGTCAGAATTTGAAGGCCTTCTTTGTTCACCTCTACCCTTACGTCCCTTGAAGATCCCCCCGGATCGACTGTTGGGGTGACTGTGTTTGTTCAATTTGTTTGAAAAAAAGACAAGACAAAATAAAACTAATGCGAAAGGTTGCAAGGGATGGTTTGGACAACAGTCACAGTATCTTCATACATGTATTATTACACTGTAAATTTATCTCCCAGCGTAATAATTAGAGATGCTGTCATCGTTAAATGGGCTGTCATGCAGTAGACTAAAAGCGTTACGTTTACGCACACGTCCCCTGATCTTTTTTTTTTGTCTTTTTCTAAAATCTTCATTTTAGCTCATTACAGGGATTACACGTTTGGTCATAGTAGCTCATTGTAGGTCATTGTAGATCATTGTAGATCATTGTAGGTCATTGTAGGTCATTGTAGGTCTTTGTAGGTCATTCCTTGTTTTAGTAACTACGAAGAAAACACATAAAATGCAATAAAATTACTCAAGCTTACCGGTCGAGATGCAGCACGGAAACCCATCAAGTAAGGCCAGAATCGCTTAAGACTTTTCTCATAGTCCAGCAAGGCGAAGTAAGCTTACTAAGAGTGGCTTATTTTTGAAAACGATGATTCCCGATTTCTTTTGTCGTGCGGCGCATTTCTCAACCGCAACCCAGTAAACAAGCCAGACAAGAATAACAAAAGAATGTTGATAGCTGCTGTATTTCATTTTGTTTGTATTGTTTGTTGCCATAACAATTTTTTCGAAACAGTTTACTAGAAACTGAGCACTACGGTCACAAAATACTTATGCAATGAAGTAGTAAACATGTTTTTGAACGCGACGACAGCCACGCCATTTCTTGCGCGATTTCCCGCCAAGAAAAAGGTGGGTTTCACAAATGCATCGCGCGATTTCTAACATACTCTTCCCCCGGACGGGCTGACACCTGATTCCCTTCCCTCCCCCGCAAAGAGTGTACGGGCGTACGCTACGTCATAACCAAATGTTTTCGGACGGATGGTTTACCAAATTTTCTTACCCATGGTGCTCCGCTGGCGCGCTTCGCGCGCCGGAGCTCCGCTATTCTCGTTTGAAACGTAAATTACTAAAGGTTATTTTAAGTGCCATTGATAAATTCTTATTAACAATTAACGTAGTTAGTTCTTAAGGAACCCAAGAACAACATTGGGAAACCTTAACAGCCTGAAATTACTTTGAAAGTGATCACATGATGATCACGTGATGTTAGTAGTACTTTCCCTTTAAAAAAAAAGATGTATGTTCCCTTGACAACCGTGGTGATATGAACAGTTTCTATCATCATTGTAATGGAGGCGTTAGCTGCTAATTTTAACCTTAAATGCTCCAGTTAGCGTTCTCTTTCCCCATGGAGGCTATTTTGATTTAGTGACCCCTTAAATGCGCGTCCCCCAACCCTCCCCCTAGAAAATAAAATCACCAAATATATGGTAAAAAACTAGAGTACTAGCAGGAGGAAGAAGAACTTTCGAAGGGACATTAACACATTTATTTGTGTTTTTCCTTACAGATAACTTCTAGTTTACTGTTTCAGTTTGTGTCTACTGGAAATCCAGTCCAGATCATTTTAAGAAATTTGAAAAACCAACCATAACCGCTATCCTTCAATTAGCCGCACTTCTTAAAGCAGCGCCCCTTCTCGACTCAATACAAGCACCCCGGATATAAATTCGAGTATTTACGGTATATTCACCCCAGAATTATTGATCGATTGTCGGTTTGAATATCATATAAGCCCCACCGTTTTAGTAAAAACCAGAGTAGCAATGCTCCAGGAATTTCCACAATGCTCAAGAAAAAGAAATTGAGGTACATGTCGCCTGCTAAGTTTCCCACGTTTAAGCTTATTCCAAAGTACACCAATCCATTCGCAAACCTGCAAGAAGAAAGCAATATGAACAGTTGCGTTTAGTTGTGGATATTTCTTCAGATCTTCTCTCCGATGCGCGACCTGTATTTGACTTTAAGAGTGGGTGGTAGGGTGAAAATCAAATAACCTAATAACCTAAAAACCACAGTATTAAACGAGGGCGGTTTCAGGTTTACTGTCTATCCAACGCGCAATTGCTAACCAGTAGCCAGGTACAATTACATAATGTTTGACATGAAAAGATAGGGCCTTTTGATTTATTCGCTGAATTGCCTATATGCTTAAGGCCCGTTTACACGTTAAAAGAGAAGGAACGGCTCGGTTAGAAACAAGTACCGGTTCCAGACGAAATCTCCTGTTTACACGTACAAATTCTGTAATGTGCCCGACAGAAAAAGGCACGGTACGTGAGAGCCCCTTGGAACGGGTACTAGACTGTTTACACGTTGTTTTCTTCGAGACCGGTAACGATAGAGCCCGCGATAATTAAATAAAACTGCTTCGATTAGTTGTTCATATGCTCTTATACATACAGTAGACTGTGCGTATCTCCGACAATCATGGATGCAGGTTTACAAGCACTTTTCTGGTTTCTTCTAAAGAAGAGAACACGAAATTCACGTTTGACAGCGCGTGCGATTCGTCAAAGTTCTTCTGAGAAAATGTACCGAATTAGGAGAAAAACAAGGCTTACGGTTCTCCTATTAACAGCCCTTGTATCGCACTTCACAGTCGAAAGGAGCTTCTGGCAAATTCCAAGAACAAGCGCTTGGTTTGATCTTACATACAGCACTTACTCTGACGACCAGTGGTATGCTAGCTTTCGAGTGTCGAAGAATACTTTCCAGTTTCTTCTTCCAACACCCATGTGACGTACGCTAAACAACTGACGTGGGGCACCACGGGCTCATAAAAAACGTAACAGAACGGTACCCAAAAAATGGCGAGCGTTTACACGTTGAAAAGACAACAAAAAATGTGGGTACGGAACCGTTTTTTATCGGTTCCGTTCCGAAAGGGGTCCATAGCCGCCTATGGACCTTTTTAGGAACGGAACGGATACAACTGGAACGGGTCAAGTACCGTTTACACGTAGAATTTTGTCGGAGCCGTTCATCTTTTTATCCGAGCCGTTCCAATTTTTTCGGTCGTGTAAACGGGCCTTTAGAGATTCAATTCTACGGACTCACCCCGGGGGATACTCCCTTTTGGGAAAATCCAACTAGTGGTCTATTATCAATGCTGCGTTCTGATTGGTTGAGCTGCTACTAGGCTATATGTTATAGTCCACTAGCAGCGAAAAGCAACGGCTTTGAAAACCAAAACAATGGCTCATGAATCGTGTTTTGCTAGCTAACGTTGTTCTGTCTCGATATTTTTAAACAACTAGTTGGATTTTACTAAAACAATTCTTCCTCTCGCCTTCATGGGCTCTGAGTGAATGTCCCAATAGCCCATTCGGGCTCGAGGAATAATTGTTAAATATAAGCCAGAAACACCGTAATTTTTAGGGAGTTATTATAACTCCAAAAATGGAGTAAAAATTTTAGGTACAGGATAACCCCTTTTTGGGGGTTATTTTAACTCCTTATTTAACTCCGAATTTGGGGTCATTTTTACTCCTGAAAAAGAGTTCTTTTTACTCCCAGTCTGGAGTTAAAATTACTCAGAAATGTGGTTACCTGTACTCCTTACATGGGTTGTTTTTACTCTTTTTGGAGTTAATTTAACTCTGAAAGTGGAGTAAAAATTTTAGGTACAAGATAACTCCTTTTTGGGGGTTATTTTAACTCCTCAATATCTGGGGTCACTTTTACTCCTGAAAAAGAGTTCTTTAAACTCCTTTTTGGAGTTAAAGTAACTCCACGAGAAATAACTCCAAGGAGTTAAATTAGCCCCACTAGAGGAGTTATTATAACTCCCTGAAAATTACAGTGAAGGTACAGACCGCCCAAAAAAGTTCGTTTTTTTGAGCCGCTTTCTTTTTGCGAAAGTATTTATCACTTCAATTCCAAATGAATAAGAAAGAAAGAAATACGCGAATTCGAAGTGGATTTTACGATTTCTTTTGTTGGCGTCTTAATCTAAGTTATGATGACGTAATATTTAATAGGCCAGCGCCCCATTTCTCGAAAGGCCCGGTAACTTTTCGGCTCCAAAGGCAAATTTTGAAATCAAAACCTGTTAAATAGTAGCACAGTTCCTAGCTTACAAATCGGTTAGTTTTTCTTCGCTAATTAATTGAAATTTAATGAAACTTTGATCTTAAATGCAAACACGGCATACATACAACAGCTTTTCGGGCCCGAAAAGTTATCGGCACCTTCCACTGGTCTGAAAACGGGTGTGAAAAATGACATTTTTTGGTCTGAAATAAGGTCACCTTCCACTGGTCGGCACCTTCCACTGGTCTGAAAACGGGTGTGAAAAATGACATTTTTTGGTCTGAAATAAGGTCAGGATTTGAAAGAGCCCCGCGGTACACCCCCACCAAGAATTCCCAGGAGTACCCCCCTGGTGGACTTACCAGTTGAATCCACAAATGACGGTTCTTTTTCTAAGCTTTGGTGTTCTGAACATGTCAAGAATGCCATAAGTTTTCCTAAACTGATTCCGATTCTTGTCTTCTTCTTTCTTAAACTCTCGTATGGCGTGATGGAGACGTTCGGAGTCTACGTTCACTCGATTTTTCCTTGCGTACTTCATTAGCAGCTCATGCGCTTCGTCCAGGCGATTCTTAGCGATTAACCAACGAGGGGATTCTGGAATGATCCTTGGAAATAAGTTAACAGATCATTAAGCCCGTTATCTGATGCCTCCTTAAAGGAGCTGTATCACAAGTGAAATTTATCAAAATTCAAACAGTGCAATGCTTAGAGGATATATTTGTTTAACTTGAAGCAGTGATTTGTCCTTTGCAAGTAATTTCTTCGGCAACGTTAAGTTCCTTTGCAATTTAGGACGCCTAGATGGCAGTATTAACAACATAGAACTAGTTGGTCGTGACACAGCCCCTTTAAGCTTTAAAGCAAAGTTTAATCTTTTGGTACATTCATTATACTATACACTATTTCGACACTGTTTTATCCTTAACAATAACTATAACAAAATTCTCAAATCTGATTGGCTATCAACTGTCCTGATTTCAGCACTAATAGGACAGTGTTATCGGATAGTACGCGTGATGCCTGTAATCGGACAGTACCCGCCATCGCACGCGCGCGCTTAAATGGCTTTTTTTCACTGCTAGCAAAAAAAACACTCGCAATTTCTTGTGTTTTAATTAGAAAAAAACCTGAAATATAATACATTTTGTTATAGTTATGATTCATTGGTAACAGAACTTCATATCTTCCAATTCGGTTTGTAATCGTACTCGTGATTAAATAAATCGCACTCGTATGATTACAGACTGAATTGGACTCCACTCAGTTCTATTATCATTATTAATTTACCTTTGTTATGCTGATTTTATTCCTGGGCCTCGACAAAACAATAGGCCACTTCCGAGGTCCAAAAACCCTCACTTTCAAAATGAGGCTAGGTGCACAACCTTTCTTGTGAAAATGAGTTTTATTTGCATGAGAATGAAAAATGATCTCCATATCAAAGGCTGAGCATCTACCCTCGTTTTGAAACAGACGCACGGGGGCTATTATATTAGCCTGCGAATGCAGCTGTCTCTCCTCAAAGGAACGAGAAGAGACGGCAGTATTTCGCCGCATGTAAGGGAATGCGGATTCCAGAATCCGTGAAAAGTTTGCTAGTGGAAGCCGGAATCATGGGCTTTGGAATCCGGAATACATCTCAAGGATTCCGGAATCCCACTAACGATTGGAATCCAGAATCCAAGTTCCACTGACAAAGACTGGAATCCAGTATCCAAGAATATCTTGGATTTCCAGTGGGGCTATACAATCAATCTAATCGAGAGAGCCTTGCGTATACAGCTATTTCGAGAAAGGTTGTCTGAAAAAGTGCACGCAGCAATCCCGAAAGGTATTGTGGGTAGTTTTGAATTCACTGTTCTTCAAAAAAAATTAAAAAATTGGCACGAGAGGCCGTGGACGTTTGTTTGTGAGTGCTAGAGGAAAGCAACAAAAACAGGTACGACAACTACAGTCTCAGGAACAGTGTATTGATCATATCTCACATTACCTTTCGGGATTGTCGCCTGCGCATTTTTTCCGACAACCTTTCTCGAAATAGCTGTATCGAGGAGAGGCAGCTGAATTTGCAAGTTAGTAAAGGAAGAAGGCATAAAGTAAAAATTCCTTACCACCAACAGAGAAGCAGTGGCAGTCCAGGTAGAGACACAGTGAGCATAAGATACCTCCAGTCTCGAATTAGATAAGCCAAAAGCGACAGCAC